CGATGTCAACTTTTCTAGGATAAACGGTACGGAGGATGTACTGTTTGAATTTATGAATTTAAGAGACATGATAAATTGCTTTGAATTATTAAACGGGAAACACTATATTTACAGCGATAGTGATTTCATTGAATTAATTTGTATATTCATTAAAACATAAATAGTTATACCAAAACTTGAATTAATAAAATAATAAATGTTATAATTGCTTATTTATGTGTCTTATTAATTAAATATGGAAATTAAACAAGAATTAGTAATATTAAGTCGGAGGATAATGATATAAGTTATATAAATAATGATAAAAAGTCCGATAAAGATAAAAAATTTTGCAGTAGAAATGATAATAATTTTAGAAATAATTCTAGAAATAATAATTCGCGATACCACGATAATTATAACAATTATAACTATAACAATTATCGCTATAATAATAATCATCAATCGAATTATGGTAGAAATAATACATGGTATGATAATCAAAGAAAACAAATCCAATACGGTGACGGAAATCGTAACAATTACCAATCTTATTACAACAACTCAAATAATTATAGAGGTAATGATAATAATCAGAGAAAGCAAATACAATATAACAACAACTCAAATAATTATAGAGGTAATGATAATAATCAGAGAAAGCAAATACAATATAACAACAACTCAAATAATTATAGAAGTGGCGACGAAAATAATAGAAAGCAAATACAATACAATAATGATTACAACATGAATATTGAAGAAATTATTGAAGAAAAAGGCGACTTTACAAAGAACAAAGATGATAATGATTTTAATGTCAACAATTTATCTGGCGATATGATTAATGACAAAGATAACGCTTTTATGACTACTTTAAAAGTGAACGACATTGTTACTTGTATGCAAGTGGACACTGGATCCAAATACACTATTATACCTCATGGTCTGGCTAAAAAACTTGGTATTAGAGATCTTAAGAAATCCGAGCTACAACTCATTGCTTATGACGGGAATTTAATCAAAATCATAGGAACTACTCAAGTTAAAGTGACTTATGATGGTATTTCCAAATATTTACAAGCGGTAGTGGTTGCATCAAGTAAAAATGCCTTGTTGGGACGTATGTGGATCAATGCTTTCAAAAATATTTTAAATAAATTTATAGCAAATATTGACACTAATTACGAAGATGAAATAAAAAAATTGATTAAAGAGTGTGAATCGAAATTGACTAATGGGCCAATTAACAAAGCAAGTGTCAAGTTACATTTAAGAAGTGATGCCCAACCTAAAATTATACCGCCTAGACGTATCCCTTATTCAAAAATTGATCTTGTTAGTAATGAACTCAAAAAATGGATACATGATAAAATTATTGAGCCGGTGAATGATGTCCGATGGGCAAGTCCTGTTACCGCTGTCTACAAAGATGATGGGAGCATTAGGCTTTGCGCTGATTTTAAGGATACTGTAAACCCAGCTCTAGAAGACTTTAGATACCCTCTACCACGAATTAATGATCTAATTGCTAAACTTTCGGAAGGAAAGAAATTTACGAAGATTGACTTTAAAAATGCTTTCTTACAGATACCAATTGATAAAAGTTGCAGAAACATTTTAACCATATCTACGCATAAGGGATATTACCAATTTACTAGACTTCCTTTTGGGCTTAAGACCTCATCTGCAATTTTTCAACAGATTATGGATCAAATCTTCGGTGACATGGATGACGTTATATTTTATATTGATGATTTACTTATAACTGGAAAAAACGATGAAGCCCACCTAAACAACATAAAAAAAGTGTTTAATAGAATATCATCGTTTGGGCTAATACCTAACTTTAATAAAAGTGTGTTCTTTAAAAACAAAGTGAGGTTCCTGGGTCATGATATTGACGCTAAGGGGATTCATGCTAATCACAACAAAATTGAAGCAATAATTAATATGCCAGAACCAAAATCAGCTGCTGAATTATCAACATTTCTGGGAATGGCTGGCTACTATAGAAAATTTTTGAACAATTTTGCGGAAATTGCCGATCCTCTTTATAAGATTGTCAACAAAGAAAAATGGGCTTGGAACCTAGAACACTCTAAAAGTTTTAATGATCTAAAGAAGTTAATTAGTCTTCCACCTGCTTTGACATATTTTAACCCTGAATTACCTATAGGGATAGCCACTGACGCATCAAAATGTGGTTTAGGAGCTGTACTATTTCATATTGAAAAAGATGGTAAAGAAAAACCTATAGCTTTCGCGTCGAGAACTTTATTAAAGTCTGAAATGAACTATACCAATATTGAGCGTGAGGCTCTCGCTATAATGTTCGCTATAAAGAGATTTCAGGAATATTTAATCGGCACAAAATTTACAATTATTACTGACCATAAGCCTCTAGTTCACATCTTCACCAAGGGTCTTAAGGATAATAGCACCATGTCGTTAAGACTCCAGAAGTGGAATATTACATTAGGGGGATATGATTTTAATATAAAGTATAAAGCCGGTAAATATAATGTTGTTCCTGATTGCCTTTCGAGATTACCACAAGAATGTCGTGATGAAACTATTGAAAATGTAACCATTATAAATGAATATGAGGACTTACCTATTAACTTTGATCAAATTCGTGATGAAACTTTGAAAGATATGGAATTAAAACAAGTCATAAATGATATTAATAACAACAGAACTATAATGAATAATATTTATAAAAACATTGAATTGGAATTAAGTATAATTAAGGAATGTCTTTACAAAAGCAATAAAATCATAATTCCGTCTTCTATGAGAAAAACTATACTACAGTCATTACATGAAGGTCACTTGGGAGCAGGAAAAATCAAATCCTTAGCCAAAGATTACATGTGGTGGCCTGGCATAAATAATGATATCGTTATGGAAGTGAAAAGTTGTGACGATTGTAATATATATCATGATAATCCTATAAAGATACAAAAACCATGGGTTTCGGCAACCAAACCGTTTGAAAGGATACATATAGATTATGCGGGTCCGTTTTTCACAAAAAATTGGTTGATAATAGTCGATGCCTACAGCAAATTTCCAATTATTATTCCTGTTAAAAATATTACGACTGATGTTACTTTAAAAGAAATCTTTAAAACTATTTCGCTATATGGAATACCTGAAACTATAGTTACTGATAACGGCACTAACTTTACGAGTAACGATTTTGAAAAATTTTGCAACAACTTTGGTATTAAACATGTGCTTACATCTGCTTATCACCAGAAATCCAATGGCCAGGTTGAACGCATGGTTAGAACGTTCAAAACACATATGAAAAGGAATATTAAAATAGACCCAGATATCGCACTTAGCAAATTTTTATTTAATTACAGAAATACGCGTAATGATACTACAGGAGTTACACCATCACAGAGAATGTTTAATCGAGATATTAGAATTAAATGGGACTTATTAAAACCGATGGAGGAGAAGGAGAATAAAATAAACGTTACTTTACCACGAAATAGAACTTTTAACGTAGGAGATTTTGTTTGGTATAAAATACAAGGTGATGATAAATGGTGCAAAGGTATGATCACACATAAAGAAAGTGATATGATGTTCCAAATTAAGACTGAGAAAGGTATTTTGAGGAGACATTTAGATCAAATAAGAATTAGAAACTGTTTTAACACAATTATTAACTATGACTCTAAGGATTCTTTTAAGGAGGGAAGTATGGACAAAAATATAAAAATTACTGATAATAACGATATAACACCTATCTTTAGACCTGTGCGAATAAAAAAAAACCTGCTTATTTAAAAGACTATGTAACTTAAAATATAAAATAAATATTAAATTGTATAAAGTAAATTAAATGTTAAAACGCTTATATTAAAACGCAAGAAATTAAAACGCTAAAAATATAACAATCTTATTGATTTATCATTCTTCATTTATTCTTATGATAAACTATTATTTCTTATTCGCAACTTATTTATGATAATAACAATTTCGGAAAAATGATAATAACAATTGAGCACTATCAAACAAGCTATGATTAATGGAGACAATTTACGATATGGATATCAAGCTTGTGATTAAACAAACCAACGTGCAAAATCGAATTGATCAAACCAACGATTGGGACAAGCCAACGTTATGATGATTTGTGATACAACTTGATTACCAAAACGATAAACCACTTGGACAACAAACTCTCTATGACTTCTCCGATGAAATTATCAGAAGAGGGAGAATGTTGCATTATTCTAATTTTATTATTTATTACAATATAAATTTTATTTTTTGTTATAATCTAATTTTATTTTATAAACGGCGTAACCTTACTTTTTTAATATTATTTTACTTTTTTGTATTTCGTTTATATTCTAATTTGGACTTATAAAAAATGTATATAATAGAAGTGTGAAATGGAAAAAATAGTATTAATAGTATTAATAAAGTTAAATATAATAAAACACCTTTTTACCTTTGTGCACACATTCATGTTACTCTACAGATAAAAAGTTTAAAGTTATTTTCTTTCTAAATCAATATAAATTGATTTATCATTATAGGTAAGCTATTTATTTTTAACAAACGTTTTCATGTTAAGTGAATGAATATGATATATTCTTCTATAATAAACGATTTTTAATTAATATATATAATAATGGCGATTTTAAATATTCGGCCTGGCTCGGGTATAAAAATTTTTTAGGCCCGACCCGGCTTTACTTTAAAAAAATTTACGGCCCGGCCGTGTACCCGGGCTTAGTACCAGGCTGGACCTGCAGGTTCCTGATCTTTCATTTATAGCTTTTTTAAGTACGTGGGTCTGAAGTAATGACCAAAAGAACACACTATGTGACTAAAAAAGCTGTTAACTTTATTTTCTCCGCTAGTAATTTAGTTCTCACTAAAATCCGACCTAAAGATCAATTGAGAATTGATCGTTAAATCTATTCAGATTGAAATCCTTAAAAAAAAAGAAGCATTATTATCTTCATACCACGAAAAATAACTGTTTAAAGGGACCAAAACAAGCTTAAAGAAGCCGCAACCCTATTGAACGACGCTCTGGAAATCAGGGAAAAAACATTGGGCCAAAACCACCCGGCCGTTGCCGCCACCCTCAATAACTTGGCCGTCCTTTACGGAAAACGCAACAAATTTAAGGAGGCCGAACCACTTTGTAAAAGGGCCCTCGAGATCAGGGAAAAGGTAAAACTATTTAAAATTTTGCGCAATGGAAGGGGATGATTGTTTATTGCATATAAATAGAGATTAAAATTGAATTTTTTTTTGAGATATATTTCCAGTTCATATAAGATCAGATCTTAAAGGAAGAGCTAAAAATTTTTACTAGGTTCTTGGGATAATTCGAACATATCGTGATTTATTTATTGGTTTGGATTTTATAATTAGTATCTTTAATTGTGTGGTTTAAAGATCTAAAAAAAAGTTCAATATAAAATTAAATTTCATTTTTATTCGCCCCCACCCAGCTGTATATTTATATTATTTTCTTTCTTTGTTTAATTTATTTATTGGTTATAATTATAAGTTATAAATAAATATTAATTAATCAATAATTTTATATCTATCTTATCAGTAAATTAGCTTAATTTTTCTAAAGGGATATTATACCAATAATTTTATTTAAAAAAAACTAATAGGCGCCAATAAATATTGCACATTCGAGGGAAAAATTAGATTTCCCTCTTTTTTTAAAATAAATTGATTTATTATTCTTGAATTTTTTTACCAAATAATTTGGTGTATACTTAGATGATATATTCTCACGTAAAAAATTTTTTTAGGTAATGGGACTGGATCATCCCGATGTGGCCAAACAACTCAATAACCTAGCCCTGCTTTGTCAAAATCAAGGGAAATACGAAGAAGTTTCATTTATCTTAAAATATAATCTACCAAAATCTTATTGAGAATTTATTATCACGTGATCACTTTTAACTCGCAAAATTCGTTTAAATTTAGTTTATTAAATAAATTATCCCTTTTTTCAAAAAGAATAAGAAGCTTGATTATTGAATTTTTCGTAAAAACATTTGTTTTTTATTATGTGTTTTTTTCCATTTTTATTTACATTTGGAAAAAAAACATCTGTTTTTTTACAATTTTTTTTTCATATTCAAAACTGAAAGGTCGAAAAATATTACCTGAGAGCACTGGATATATACCAATCTAAACTCGGTTTCGATAACCCAAACGTCGCCAAAACGAAAAATAATTTGGTAAGAAAAACAATTTTATATTGTAATAAATATTTAATTTAAATAATAACTCTTGATAAAGATGTATTCAATTTCATAATCACTTATGGAGTAAAAAAATTCATATAATAACACTCATAATCGGCAATGTGTGTTCTGCTCATTTCGCTTAGAAAAATATTAAAAATTCACCCGCCTACGCCCGACCATTACTTAAAATTTTTTTAACACGCCCGCCACACGCCCAGTATTTGAAATATTTTAGAAAACCCATCCACCCCCGCCCGAAGAATGGGCAGGTGGGCTAAACCCCAGCAAATTGCAGACCTGTAATTGGTAATGAATAGGGAGAGATGATTATAATATCGTAAAACGTTTTTTTTTGAACACTCCTAGAGATTCTCCGGACTTACATATTTTCACGTTGCGTTTGAAACGATTAAAAATTTTGTAATTTTAACAGATAGGAAGCTAAACCCAATTATTAATTTTTTTAAAAAAAACACTTGATCATGCAATTATTAATTTCTAATATATATGTATATGACTCTGAAATTAATTTAAAAAAAATTTTTTTTTAGCCTAATAACACTTAAGAATTTAAAAAACTGCGCCGCTTTTAAATCATCGTAATTTTAATAAGTATAAAAAAAAACTATTAACCGACACAATGTCGCAACGCAAAAAATAAAATCAGGAATAATTTTGTTAAAACTGCTCAATTTGAGCCGATTTTTAAAAACTGCTAACTCAATATTTTAGCCATAAAAATATTGCCTAAGCCTCGAGATTTAACTGATAAATGTCCAAATGTTTGTGCTCTTTATGAGAAAAGTTGTCAGGCTTGCGTAATATTTTTCTGGATAAAATAGCTCTTTTTTAAAAATAGGCTCAAATCGAGCCGTTTAAAAACACTAGTTGGAACGACTAACCATCATCAACAGTTAGCACGAATTCGCGGCAAAATATAGATTAATGTAAAATCATATTTTTGTTTATTTCGGCGCCAATTCGAAGAAACTAAATGCAGGGTAACTCTTATTGTTCGGCCCGATTAAGATTTTAGATAGAGGTCACCTCTCTGCCATCTATGAGTTTATATTTTTTTTTTGCCGAAAATCTTAATCGGGTCAACCCAAATCGGCCGTTTAACAACAACGCTGCGTTTGTAGTAAACGCGATTTTATCGAGTGAGGCAAAATTAATCGATGCTTAATTTACAAAAACAAGCCAATTATGGGTACAATTTATAAATTACTGAACTAAATGATAGAATCGCCACAGCTGTTTATATATATATCAAAAAGTAGTATTATACATTAGATGGGACTAATCAACTGTTACTTTTTGATAGCGATTAATATTTCTCATCCTTTGAGCAAATCGCCCTGATAATAAAAGTGTAATAGTTAAGTAATTATAAAATATATTTAAAAATGTAAATATTTATTAAATATACACACTTATAATTTTAAAAATTATGATCATTATTCGGAATTCAATTTAATTAAAGAAGCAGACGATAATAATTTAATTTATATGCAAAACGCTTAAATATTCAAATTTTTTTGGAAATTATATTTTGCGACATTCTATTCTTGGCTCGCTATCTTTTTAGCATTACGCGTTAGAACTCTCTGGTATGGCCTTAGTTTGATAATAATTTCTCGAAATAATTTCTTCAATTATGGTAATTTTATTTTTTAAAAAAAAGGCTGCCGCTTATCTAAAACAAGGCAAATACAAGCAGGCTGAAATCCTTTATAAGCAAATATTGACACGTGCTCATGAAAAAACATATGGATCTGGTAATTATAAATTGTACATAGTCTTCTTTTTTAATAAAGAAATTAAGAATCCCAAAAATTTCTAAAGACCTTAGAAAATTAACACGTGTTTTAATGGGATTGACCAATCCAAAAATTTTTGAAGACCTTAGAAAATAAACACGTATTTTGATGGGATTGACCACATTTTTAGGTTATGGTTGCGAAAAGTTTTTTTTAAAATAAGTTATGTTATACTTAAAATGCCTATAAATTTGATTTTAAAAATAATGATGACGACATAAAGACGAAAACAACAAACCCATATGGAAATTAGCCGAAGAACGGGAAGGTTCTAAAAACTCGACGATATCGAATGCCACTGAAAACAATACAACGAATACTCTAAATAATTCTGCCTTCTATTCGGACGGCAATGAGTATGGCTCCTGGCATAAAACACCTAACGTGGATAGGTGAAAAAAAAACTAACTGTTTCACTTCTCTCTTTTTTTTGCTATTCTCATTTATATTGACTATTGTATGAAAGGAATGCTTAATATAATTCGAAATATTTTGAGAAGATAATATCTGGCTTATTTTCACTTACAAACTTCATTTGCTCTTGTTATTCAAATTACTTTTTTAAATCCATTTGCACAAATTTCTCGATCCATCCATCCATAAGATATAGTTTATTTTGTTTATATCCAATAATTTTTTCGATTTTTTTTTTAGAAAAATTAAAATGTTGATCACTAATTTTTTTTTAAAGTAGGCCTCCATTTTTAATATAAAAATGAAATTCAAAATATTTTTTTTAAACCATCAGTTTTTGTCTTTTTTTTACTAAATAGCATGCTATCTTGTGTTAAAGAGTAAATATATTATAATGCAAACTTTTTTCTGAGGGACAAAAGATAAGATGTTATTTTGTCAAACCACATAACATTTATCCAGAAAACATTCATTTTAATGCCTTTAGTGTATAATACATTCCTTCCTAACGAATCCGCCCACTTCTTAAACCACGGCCGAATAAATTTTATTGTCTTTGTTATTTTAGTAAATATAATTTTGAAATCTTTTATTCTCACCCCATGTAAATTATTTAGCGAAATCTATTGCCTAGAATTATTGAACAAGCCAATAAAAAAATAATTTAAAATTCATTGATTTTATTATCTATTTAGTAAATTTATTTATTTTACTTTCGTTATTTATATTTCACAATATTTGCATTATAATTAATAATTTTTTTTTTTGCATTATAAATTATAATATTTGCAATATAATGCTTTTTATATTATATATATATATTATATTTATAATATATTAAGTAGAAGAAAAAAAATGATTTAAATGTCTAATAAATTAATTTAATTTTAATATTATGGAAACGTGTCTATTTTTTGTGCCCTTATTTAATGTCGTAAATTGCATGATACTAGTGTTGTTAAAAAAGCCTGGTCAAAACGGTTCGATTAAGATTTTAGCTATAATATTATGAAAGCATCGAGATTTGACAAATAGATGTCCGAAAATTTCTGCTAGCTATGAGTAGAATCTTTACGCTGGCATAATATTATTTAGGTTATAATATTAATCGGGCCTTTTTCTAAAATTGACCCGACTCGTGTTTTTTAATAGCACTCACAACGTGATACGAATTAGTAGTAAGTACGCTTTTTATATAGCAGGGAATTATTGTAAGCTTTGACTATCTGCTATATAATAACCCGTTTAACGTTTTATCTCGACTGATCAGAATTTTAAAACGCGTCAAAGCGGGAACCGTTATAACCGACAAATATTTTATAAAAATTTTGGAACCGGAAATTTAAAAAAAAGGAGGTTAGAGAACGGGTTATACTGCATATTATAGATTCGAGGAAAATTTCGTCTTCTTTGTGCATTTTCATTTGATAAAAACTATGCTTTTTAAATTTTAAAAACATGGATTTTAAAATGTAATTAATATTTCTCTTTATTTGAAAAAAAAAATGTATTTTAAAGTCCAACGATATCCAACACCTTAAAAAGTTTGGGGGCTTTATACAGGCGGCAAGGCAAGTTTGAGGCAGCTGAAGTTTTGGAAGAATGTGCGTTAAGGGGAAGAAAACAAGTTTAAGTCTTTTTTTTAATATCAATTTTTACTTTTCCTTTTTTTCTTATCATTATAAGCTCTTAGGAAATTATATTGTTTGACATTATGGCCATGATATTGTAATAGAATTAAATTAACCTCAAAGGCAATTAATTATATGATTAATTGTATTCAAATTTATTGTTAATTGTGTATTGATGTATTTAGATTGATTTGTAAAAGATATATAAACTGAAGTACAAAATATATTAAGACAGTTAAAAATATAATAAATTGTTCAATAAGTGAAATATGTCGGATATCCTTAAAATACGTTTAGAATGGTGTACTTATCCCTATCTTTGAAAACTAAAAATTCGGCTATCAGAGAAGTTTATTTAGAATATTAAAAAGAACCATAGGTTAGGACTCGACCTCTTTTTTTTTGATTATTTTTATTCTCAATTTTATTTGGAATTCTCAATTATTTTGTTTTACTCCCCGAGAAAAAAACAACATTTATTTATATGTAGGAATTTTTTATCGAGCCAAATGTTCCTGCGAGTTTAATTAGAATTATTGTGTATTAGAATTATTCTACGTCAGAACAAGCAATTGAAATTCGCGATAAGCAATATGATTGGGTAATTTATTTTGCAGCAAACGCATTTTTAAAGCAATGTGATTGGGTAGTAGTATTTGGCAACAAACCCATTTTTAATTGAAATTTTTTTAATTCTTATAAAATTTAGCATTTTTAATTATATTTGTTGTTAGCAGGGTTGGGAAAATTTTCAAAAAAATATAGCTGCCTTATCTAAAGAGTTTTCACATAGTCGAATTTAAAGTATACTGGATCCAATGACATATAATAATACCTAGACTGATATTGCATTCATAATAATGCATTTGAAAGTGTCGTTGAATGCAAATCAGCTGAACCCCTCATTTTGGTAGCCCATATAGTAATTATCATGTTAAAAAAAATTACTATTAATTTGATAACTTGCTTCCTTATTATCTCGATGATCAGGCAATTCTTTAATATAGTTTTTTAAAATTTTTGATAATGATATAGGCAATCAAAATGGCTTCCCCAGCTGTTTTCATTGATGTGCACCTTTAATGAATGCATCGTCAGTCATATGCGATTGACTAGATCATATTATCATTTAATACACACTTGACCAATTTTTTTTTCCCTCTAAAAAAAATAGGCCTTCGATATAATAAGCCAAAACGGAACCAATAACGTGTCGATAGATATAGAAAACTCGACTTCCCGTTACAATAACCCTTCCAGCTATAACGTAAACGTAAATTTATCCGAAAATTTAAATTGTGCTAATGTGAACAAGTGTCTAAGTAAACTAGGGAATCCGGTCAGTGGGCAGACCCCAACCCCCGCTAGTTTACAACAAAGGCTCAAAAAATTGTTTGAATTATGATACGAAATATATAACGACTTTTTAGAAATTTTTTAAAAAATTGAAAAACTCTACAGAAAAAAAATAGCATTTTTTTCTGTTTATTAAGTATTGATTGGTATTTGGTTTGGATTTTATTCCATTAGGAATAATCTTAGACTCCCTCCACAACAATATTGTCCATAAATCTTTTATTATGACCATTCATACACACTTTCCACGATTTCCATTAACGATGTCTGATCTCTAAAATATAAATATTCTATTTAAAGTATTAAAAAACCCTACTTAAAACTATACCAAATTTATTTTTGAAAAAGTTTTTTGGGTCAAATGTTAATTTAATTTGATATTTTTATTATTACATTATTCTTTCATGTTAAGTATTTATTAAAGCATTTCATATTAGTCATCGACAAATATTTGAGTATCGTATTTTTATATCTATAGTTGGACAGAAAAAAAAAGCTTGTATAAGAATAATCTGTGCTTTTTTTAAAGATTAAATATCGTTATGCTTTATTTATTTTTAATACTGAAATTTAAAAAAAAAATTTTTTATCTTCAATATAATCCAAATTTGAAGTCTTATAAATATTGTATATATATTTTAATTCAGTTTATTATAACCGTCCACCTAAATGAATTATTTTCATATTACTATTATAGCATGAAATGTCTAAATATATATTTATTCGCATTATATTAAATTAATATAAAAATAATGTTTTTAATTATTGCACGATAATAAATTTACTTCGCTTAATAAATTAATATTTAGGTTTTATTATATATATAAAAAAGAATTAAATTTATAAAAGTTTTTCGTAAATATTCATTATTGTCACGTGCCATTCATATGTTTTTGTATTAATATTCTAAACAAAGAATCATTTTTTATATCTATGTTTATAGCTATCGTGTATCTTATCATGAAGGTTAACCAGAACCTATTCAGATGGCCCCAAAATCCGCTTTTAAAGGAGTAAAGTAATTTGCCCGACAAAGCAACTAGATTTAATCTGGTTTCTAAAATCGACCTAAATGCAGCTTACCATTTTTTTTAGAAAAGGCGGTTTGAATCGGTCCGGTTGACCTCCACTACATAAATCTTGGCTTAATATTTTTGGCTTGGCTTTAGTTAATGAAACTAGATTTCATTTTTTTTATGACGTCAATCATTGGTGCCAATCTTAAAAGATACATAAGCTTATTTTCTTTCAAATTAAATTTTGCTTCAAAATTCAGTTTATCTCATTAAATATATAATTAGTTTTCGCCTTCCATCATTTTTTTTTAAGTTATGTTATCATAATTTTATTTTTTATGTCAATCAATAATAATTTTAAATATTTTCTGTTAATTTCTATTTTTCGTTGTGTGGATGTTACCTGTATACTTTTAGCATGAATTTATTAATAATTTTGTTTTTCTTTATACTAGAAATGAGGGCAAAAGATGGTTTGTGTCATAACCTATATTCCCAATATCTTTTATAAACTTACGTAATAAAGCTACTACACCAATAACCAAAATTATTATAGAAATCATTTATTAAATATTTATTACGTAATTCTATTTCGTTTTTATATACATAATTGATATTTATATTGCGCCCTTGATTACATTTATTCATTAATAAATTCTTGGCTTTAACTCGAAATTGTTATAATTCAAACATTTACAATTTCCTCTTTCTTTTATTATTATCTAACCTTTTATTTTAAAGTGATTGAAATTAAGCCTTTTTTAAAAAAAAAATATTGTCAAGATAAGCCTAGTGATAATAATTTTATGAACATCATATAAAATTTAGTGCTGTATAGAAAAATAACATAATTTGTTACTCTTCTTAAAAGTAACGAGTAACGCTTTTCTCTTTTTGAGTAACGATGACACAAAACGTTATCGTTGCTTTAAAAAAACTTTAAAATATTTAATTTTGTAAATAATTTAAGCCTAGCCTTAATTCAGGTCAAGCACCCAAAATTCGGTTAATGTAAATGGTGCAAAGTTAAAATAAAGATTAAAAAAAAATTCGATGAAGATTTGAATGAATGTTCTGTGATAATCTAATAATTTTTTTTTTAAAATATTTCTTATAAATTCCAGTTAAAAATTATATTTATTGAATATTATGCATTCTTCCCATCCTCTGGACCATATACTGATGATTTTTTAGATTAATTATATACAACTAAATCAAAAATTGGTTATTTAGATATTTTGCACACTAATATATAGGAAATAGAATTGCTATAATACTATATGAAGCATTTAAAAGATTATGGATTTAAGTCATAGTGAAAAATTAATACGTACATCTTATGGATATTAAACAAATATTTTGATCATTTAATAATTATTAATAACGACGCAGATATGGTAAAATATAATACACTACCACAAGGAAAAGAATGTTAAAAAAAGGTAAAATTATTTATTTTATCTTGGCTGAAACCGGTTAACTTTTTTATAAAAGTTCTTTTTACTCCTTCAAAAAATAAGCATTGGTTCAGTTACGTTTCAGATATTTATAAAGGTTTAGTGGTTCACTCTGGGTCCCTCCTTTTTCGAGTAACGCCTTTTCTTTTACAATTATTTTATTTTAATAAAAAAAACTGAAGTCGGGTCCCACTATGAATTTCGCCCAAAATAGATAATTATTAATATTAACCCAATTCATAATTAATTGGCATGTAAATTTATGAGTGAATAGTAGTGTGACAGGATAAAGAATCAATATAATCATGAAATTAAGTTGTTTTTGTTTAAAAAAAATGCCGTTAAAATATTTTGTAAGATATTAAGTAAAATTATGCGTGAAATTGTTGAATTCGTTTGTGTATATATATATATATAAATAATGGAAACAAAATTATGAAATGCCGGCTTAGCAGTTAATTTTTATTATGAAGCTTTCTGTATGACTGATTTTTTTCTAATTCTATAAATTTCTTGATATTCTGTACGTAGATTTCATCTTGAGTAAATTGGGATTTCAAGAGATTGACATCATTCTCGACGACTTTTGAGCTGCTTAGAAAAATTTGTGTTAATAAAGATACAACTGGGCCTTTCATGAGTGTTATAACTGCTCTAACAAATTTTATTCCTCAAATTTATTACCAAATAATAAACGGTATATAAAAAAATTTAAAGTTATTTTCATATTAAATGCCACAAATTATAACTTGTGATCATCTTGATGTATGATTAGTTTATCGTAGACTCGCCTGTATCCAGTGTCTCTAAAACTTTCTCTCCCTATAATATCTACTTTGACATATCGCTATTTTACAGACAAATTAATTAAGTATTTTACGGTATGTTACTCATAACACTTCTATTGCAATACCGGGTTAAAAATAATGATAATTTAATAGATTATGCCAAAATTAAATTATGGTTAACAAACTCGAACATAGTCAAATTTAAAAAAAATTGATGGGGATAATTCAATGTATCCGTTATTTTTACATTTTGGAAGTGAGGATTCGTTTAACCAAGAGAATCACAATTAGAGGTCTACAATTGGCAGGTTTATAACCAAAAAGCTTGTCCACTTGTTTTGAAATTTATTAGACCCGCCCGCCAAATGTTTAAAAATTATTTTAATGGCTGGTTTGGTTCTTTATTCATTTTGAGGTATTTTTAATTAAACATATAAATATGCAATATTATGAATTTTTAGCTAATAACTTCGAAATGACTTTTTATTAGCTAATAATTTTAAAATGTTTTTTTAGGGAAATAATTTTAAAATTACCACCCCTCCCTTTTTTTTAAAAGGTATTTTTTAAAAAATTTTTAGAGAGGTCTCTACAAAATTTTTTCAAAGAGACTCGAATCTAATATTCGATTTGAACCGATCTTTAAAAACGGTATTTTAAAAAAAAATCTTTATAGATTTTGCTCATAGATGGCACAAAGGGTTTTAACATCTGTTACCGAAATCTTGAGACCTAGGCAATATTTTTCCGGCTAAATTATTGAGTCAACCCTTTTTAAAAAATTGGCTCAAATCGAACTATTTAACAACACTACTCGAGCCCCTGTGTCTCCCCCGCCCCGCTATGACGTTAATGTTCTAAGCTAAGAGTCAAAGCCATCCTAGACCAATGGCGCTTAAAAAAAGAGAATTTCCGGAATTGAGAAAATGTTTTAATTTATGTATATACTCTTATTGCAGAATGTTCATACTTTTTTTTTGAGGGACACTTCTTCTGGAAATAATGAAAAGAAATCAAAATTTAGATATAAAAACTGCAACGTCCAAATCCAAATACTCTCCAGTTAAGAACCCTAAGTAAAATAGTTGAAATTAAAATATATAATTTAAGCAAAATTAACCCAAATTTATATAATAATAATTTATTAATAATGACCTGTAAAATTTGTGCGTGAAATTCAATATATGTGTAGTAATGTATAAATAATATGTATAAAGATAATATTATCATAATGATTATATATGTATGTATAATGTCAGGTAATGTTTAACTGCAGAACATTATTATTTCAATGCAGAAACTTCTATTATAATATTTTATATCCTGCCCTGTGAATGATTATGGTTGTATAAATAAATGAATTATACTATGTGATAAGTGCCCATTTATTATAACATGATATAAAAGGATAAATATAATCATAAAATTTCATTTAAAAATGAAAATTTAGGAGTGCAGTTCAAATATTTCGTGATATATTAAGTAAAATCGTGCGTTAGGTAATTGAATTCGCTTGTAATGTATATATAAATGGAAGTAAAAATTATTAAATGCAGGTTTTAACGGGTATTTCTAATCATGAAGCTTTCTATAGATAACTGATTTTTTCTGGTCCCATAAATTTTTTGATACCCTGTACGTAGATTTCATCTTGAGCAAATAGGGGTTTTAAGAGATTGACATCGTGCTCGACGACTTTTGAGCCACTCAAAAAAATTTCGGCAAACAAGGAAGCAACCGGGTCTTTCATGAATGTTAGAACTGCTCTAACAATCTTATCCTTAAATTTATCGTGAAATAATTAAAAGAGTATTTTTAAAAAAATATAAGATATTTCCATTTCCATTTTTTGTAATTTTACAGGAGAGGAACTGTAAAAATTAAGTTTCTATTGTTTTTAATAGGATATAACTCTATATTGGCTATAATTTAACTTATTTTTATATTTCGAATTTCTTTGTGTAAATAGAATAGTATAAGGATAAAAAATTCATTTGTAATTTTTGACAAAAGGTTGAAATAGAAATATCTAAGGTGATATAGTGGTTATAAATACTTTTGAAAAAAAATTAAAAATTACTTTCATATAAAATGCCACTAATTTTGACTTGTGATCATCCTGATGTATGATGATTTTGTCGTAGCCTCGTGAGTATCCAGCGTATCTAAAACTTTTGCCAAATTGGACAGTCCAAAAATAGGGAACGCTCTTGATGACTACCCGCTGAATAATAAATGGAGAGAATTTATCATTTAGAATGTTTATAAAATTATGATTTCATCTTTCAAATTATAATCTAAAATGGTATATCAATATCTATTAAAGTTATTTTTTTTTGTTTGATTTATAAAAATATCGATCAAAATTTGTAATTTAACAAAAAAAGAAGAAAGTATATATTTTAGGTAATGGAAAAAAGATGAAGGAACCTGTGTTTGTAATTATTTTAAAATTACTTGAGTCTAAGGTAATATAGATAAATAAGAAGTTACATTTAAAACATTCGGGGGTTGATAGATTCTACGATAATCAACTTATCAAGTAGTTAGTAAAATAACCACCTAACCGTATACAATTAGGAATATAAAAGAAAAAATAAAGCACCAAACGATATATTTTACTCGTTATGTAAGATAAGATAACTAAAAACAAAAAAAAAAAATTTTTTTGCGTAGGTAAAATTTGCTTTACTTTTAAATGTGATAAATAAGAATTAAAAGTAATTTCTTTAAAAATATTATAGCCCCCCAACGTTTCTCGAAATAGCATTTATTATATATAGCAGAGACCGGCAGGCCCGGCCCAGCCAGGTTTTTTAAAAATACCCGGTAAGGGCCTGATTTTTTTTTTAAATAACCGAGCCGGGCCTGAAATATAAAACCTGGGCCGGGCAGTGCAACTGGCACCTCTGCAGGTCTCTGATATATAAAGAAAGAAAATTTAAGGGTCTATTCATACTTTGCGGTTTTCCGAAAAACCAAATTTCCAAAGATGCATTAATAAGCTAGCTTAAAATATTTTACAGGGATACTTTTTAAATAACATCTCTAGGATAAAAATAAGGAGTATAAATTCGGATAAATGGGAAAATTAATTTTTCGTTAACAGCTGACTGACATTGTTAAATTTAAAAAATTTTGACAGCGACACTTCAATCTTTAGATATTTTTCCAATGGTTTATACAAATAAAATCTTTATTAGTTTATATCACCAAAAAATTATAATTCATTTCAGGTGTTTTAGACAAAAATATTTACGCCATCTATTTTACGATTAATTTGGAAAACTGAATCTAAATATAATAGATTTTTCTAGAATCAGACGATTGGCGTTTTGTTACCGCTCGCGCCAATTGGTTATAAAATTTCACGTGATCAATGATAAATGCCAATAATATTTGGCACGTGCGAATGTCAAATTATATTATTGTTTATTTATTTTTTTATAGAGCAGACGATAAATTTTGTGTTGCACCAAAATATAAAATGGATAAAGAACGTTTTCTATTTTGCGTCAATTCTAACATAAAATGTATTTAAAAAATTTAAGTTTCGAAACCTTCAACATCTTGAAAGATCTTATTTTATGCGTGATAATTAAACCAAGATTAACTTATAAAAAAAAATGGCATATTTATGTAAAATTTTAGAATAGTTTTTGTTAATAAAACTTTGTAGCAATTTTGAGACAATTATTATGAGTAAAATAGCATATTTAATTAATAGGTATATCCTTTACATATTTGGAGGGCCTATTAAAATTTAGATTCTAAGGATGTATCAAGCTTCGTTTAAAAAAAATTAATTAGAAGTATCTTTGTTGTATATATATTTGAAATCCTCCCCATATTTGCAGTTCTAATGACGTGTATTAAGTTTACTAAACATTTCATTTACCAAAACACAAAAAATATCTTCGCTAAATATTATTTTTAGACCGAAATGCTATTTAACTATATTTATGTCTACTTTAAACCATGACTGAAATATAATTGTTCATTCTTTTATACAGCAGGCTCGTAGAAAACTTTTAATTATCCATGGGGCCTATGCCAAGTCTGTAAAGCAGAAAAATAGGAATTGATTCTACAAGTGTAAATCTCACATGAATTTATTAATAACTTTTATAGAATTATAAAAATTTAATGTTGAATTTATTTAATTCCTATACCCCCCCCCCCTCTCATCCTAATTTATAATCTTAGATTGTGAAAGCTATAGGTAGTGTAGGAATAGCCGAAATTCGCTGCACTGTTTATTTGAAGATAAAAATAAAATTGGACATTATGTTTTTTTCTATTAAAAGTTGTTAATAAATACATATGGTGAATTCAGACTTATCAAAATAATATTATATACTCTTTAATAAATTAAATACCAATTTCAATTAATCCTTATGGCCCATGGATTATAAGTTATCTACGACCTCGGCCGCCGTGTAAAAAGTAAACGCGTTATTTAACGCTATCGAAATCATAGCTGATTCTTTATGGTGATAATAATTCTTGAAACATATACGTCCGCAACATGTTTTTCGAATCTTATCAATGTGTTTATCACCATAACGCCTCCATATTTATAAATTATGCTTATTTATTGGATTTTGTTAATAACACTGCGTTAAATAAAGCAACCCTTGAACATAACACGTTTACTATAAATGAGGCCTCACTCATGTCTCCTTTAAGTATGAACATGATAATAGCCTACATCATATTAGGAAAAATAGCACGCTTTAATTATTTATGTCCCGGCCAGGGCCTAAAAATTTGTTTTTTAAAAATCCGGGCCAGGCCGTGCAAATGGTACCTCTGCAGGTCTGTGATAAAAAGATTACTAGAACTAAAAAAAAAATCTAATTCATATCTTAACAAAGAAACACTTTTTAATCATAGAATTCCTTGGTTTAACGAAATAATTTTAGGGTTTTTTTTTTAAACTTAACACAATCGAAAAAAAATATCGGCGCTATTATTTGTAACTATATAAAAGTTCCTATCTGTATTTTGGGTAGCTATAATAGAGGTCTGCATTAGGCGGGTTTCGGCCCGCGCGCCCATACCCGCCCATCTAAGTTGCGGGCGGATGAGGGGTAAAAATTTTTAAGAATGGGCAGGCGGGCAGGCGGGCGGGTGGGCGGGAGGGTTAAAAATTTTGAAAATATGGGCGGGGTGGGTGGGCGGGTTAAGGAAATTAAATTTTTGATCAAAAACAAACTAAAGAAAAATCATTATTAATTAAATGATCAATAACAACATTTCTTTTTTTATTTTACCAATCGTTTTTTCAATTGAAGAACACTTTACTAGTTTTTCGACATCTTTATCTAATTTCTCCCACCATATATACTGTCTCGTAATGGATTTCATTGTTGTAATACCTGGATGTCCCGTATGCAATATATACAAAACTCCTTTTTGAAGTGAGTACGGAATGATTAATTTGCCATTCCAAAATAAAATACCGTCATCATTTTCTATTTCATCTTTTCTTGTTCTATAAGCTTATAATTCCGGTGCTTGATTTTGTATATTTGTACCATTTCTTTTCTTGATAGAGTTAATGTGTCATAAGTAAGATTTCTCTGCAATTATATTATAAGCGCCATTCTTTTACATTATATTATAATTATATGGAGGTAATTTATAAGCCCAACGTAATAATCTTTGGCTTGTTTATTACCATATATCTTTATTAAAGGTTTGTGGTCTGTTTAAATTTTAAATTTTCGTCCATACAAATAGTTATGAGATTTTTCTAAGCCGTTTATTATTGCTTTTGCTTCTTTGTCTATTGTAGAAAAATTCTTTTCAGCGTCTTGTAAAGTTCTTGAGGTTAGAGCTATTAGAAATTCGTTACCATTATCATATTTTTGCATGAATACAGCTCCAAATCCTTGGTTAGATGCATTTGTTTCTAATATTAACTAGAGGTCTGGTTTATAAAACTGTATAGTATTCTGTTCTGTTACTATTCCGAATAGCATGAAACGATTACGAAAATAGCACGGTATTTTATTTTGGAATGACAGATTAATCTTCGTACTTACTACAAAAAAGAGTTTTACATATATTGCATACGGGACATCCAAATCTCACTTGAGTAAGAGGATATACTTCAGACGGATATCCTACTTTGGTGGAAACGACAAGAGATTTGCCAAAGCTATCATTAGCAAGAAAAATATTGGCAATTCCTGCAACTAGTGCTTCTTCTGATCGAGGATTTAGTATTGCTGGAAGGTTTTTAGAACAAAGAAGAACGTGTTTGAATCCAGAAAATGTCGATTCATTATTATTTTTGCATTTTAATTACATGCAATATTAATTTTATATTTATATCATAAATATTCTATTTTGATCAAATAAATTGTTCATAATTTAAATTGAATATATTTTTTTATGATTGAATCCTAAATTATAAACTTTTTGCAGAGGTGTAATGCTGAAATATTTTTATTAGAACGCTTAAAAAATTGAAAGAATGGCTATATTAAATTTTATAAGTGGACTTGGGTTAAAATTTTTTATAAATAATGGGTGGGCGGGCTTTTAGAGCAAACACGAAAATCGATAATTTTATTTCCTTATTTTTTTCTTCTTAAAATATGAAATCGTACATAAAATAATAGTTGTTTCTTTTTTTTTTCGCGCTTATACATTTATTTTTTTACAACATCATCGCCGTTTATTTATTTTTCTATTTATCAACAGTCAATCAACTTTTTTTTAATATATATTTATTTATTCAATTCCTTATTATTCGTATACTTTGCCATTATATTCCTTTAGTGCTAGGCGTGATAGCTTTCTCCCTTAACACGCCCCCTTCAGAAAAGTCGATCCTCCGTCTTCTCCTCCCAGAGGTTGCCCCACTCCGAATCCTCTACCATGACGTCCAACCAGCCTTCGAGCTCATCAACATCGTCCAGAACCGCCACTAGATCCCGCCATTACGCTGTTCCCATCACTCCTTGATTATTTCCTATACGTTCGGGGGCCACAGTAACCTCTCCCCTCGTTATATCGTTTCCCGCCTTCATATCGTTTGGGCCCTCACTCTCGGCTGTTAAATCAACCATTGGCCATATCCTTTAATCCACGCTAGCTATGGTGTGGTCAACATACAACCTCTGATTTACACATGGTACATGACTGCTGGTGGTGTCACCCGTGCCTTACCTAACATCGCAATATATGACTCGCAAATCACTAAAGCTGCACAGAGATCGAACGTCACTAATGAACTTCTGTACACACTTGACCATGCGCCCTACTTAGCGGATAAATGGCTACCTGATGTAGTTAAAGCAGTATCTGATGGCAAAACCATCTGGGATAAAGTGGCTGACATGTCTATTAAATCGGAGAACAAAAGTTCGGATCAAAGATGAGGGAGACTTGGTCGGCTGATGCAATTACCCGGGGGTTGTTAACAGAATATGATTTCAGTTTAATCCCAATAGCACGCTTACACGAAGAAGTAACCTCAAGAAGATCAGCAAATGAAATCGCCAGAATATTCGATAGAATCAACAGGTATGCAGAAGGTGACACTTATGGTGTAATTTGTTCTAATGACTCATCTGGCTGTAGCCCAAGTGCACCAAGGCACCACTGGGCAAAGCACCACGATTACAACCTCAGATTTACTAGTACAGGAAAATGGTTACAGGGATGGACTGGCACAGCGGTTTTCAATGTCCATATCAGCACTTACTGTGTCAGGGTGGGTAAACAAGCTGGTTATTTGCCTGGTGACGCAAGAGCCGAAACGTCTGGGTTAATAGACGATGCCGTACAAGGTATAATGGGACATCTAAAGAATACGCACAACGAGCAGCTGATGCGCATTACTCAACCACTAAACGCGTGTGGAGAGAGCTAAGAGCAGAATTGAATGACGCAAAAACATTATACTCTTCCATAAAATTCATATATCTCAACAGATTCTTCAGCCAAGGCAGTGAGAGGTGTTATGTGACATGAAAACCTTCTCTAAAGTTGACCGCGACTACACTAGGCGGCTATCCACTCTCACATAGCAGATAGACACCGTGTTTGGTGCTGCGCGAGCATCGTCCGAACGAGGCACAGACCCAATCTTAAGCTACTACTACGCCACTTTCCGATCTATTGACTTAATTACCCAAACATCTGCGTGGGGTCGTGACTTGAGTTATCTTGAATTAGTGGCTCCGTGCTTTGCCCCACGCAGCCTCTGCGGTTATGGCTTTCCCCATTTTATAGCCTTCCTAACAAAAGAGAAGTTGGGTTCGATCACTATGTATTTGGGAATTATCCACAAGATGAAGTACTACTCATGGTGCGGCCTCATAGGACCGGGGGTAGGTGTCGGGGAAGCGGACGGGTAATGATAAGACGAGATATGGAGGACGGAAGACGGTGCTATCGCTGCAAGGAACGCGGACATATTCAATATAGATGCCCATGGAATTGGGAGAGAAGGGCGGATGGTAATCGGACGGGATTGCAACAGGCTCGAGCAAGGGTGGAGGAGATACTAGCGAGGCAGATAGCGGCGATTTTGTGGGCGCGAACGGAGCAAGTAAGAAGCGGTGAATCAAGGCCTGTCGCAGAAATTCCGGGAACGAGGAGAGATGAAGAAGAGGAACAGCGGATTTTGGGGGCGCGAACGGAGCAAGTGAGAAGCGGTGAATCAAGACTTATCGCAGAAATTCCGGGAACGAGGAGAGATGAAGAGGAACAGCTCGAACATCGTACGAGAATAGCTAGCGTGGATCAAAGGATATGGCCAATGGTTGATTTAACAGCCGAGAGTGAGGGCCCAAACGATATAACGAGGGGAGAGGTTACTGTGGCGCCCAAACGTATAGGAAATAATCAAGGAGTGATGGGAACAGCGGCGGGATCTAGTGGCGGTTCTGGACGATGTTGATGAGCTCGGAGGCTGGTTGGACGTCATGGTAGAGGATTCGGAGTGGGGCAACCTCTGGGAGGAGAAGGCGGAGGATCGACTTTTCTGAAGGGGGCGTGTTAAGGGAGAAAGCTATCACGTCCAGTACTAAAGGAATATAATGGCAAAGTATACGAATAATAAGGAATTGAATAAATAAATATTTTAAAAAAAGTTGATTGACTGTTGATAAATAAAAAAATATAAACGGCGATGATATTGTAAAAAAATAAATATATAAGCACGAAAAAAAGAAACAATTATTATTTTATGTACGATTTCATATTTTAAGAAAAGAAAAATAACACTCTGGCATTACAACAACAAACAACTACTTTTTAATTTATCTATGTTTTTTTTTTACTTACTTCAATTTTTTTTTTCTTCTTGAAACACGAAAATCGATAATTTTATTTCTTTATTTTTCTTTTCTTAAAATATGAAATCGTACATAAAATAATAATTGTTTATTTTTTTTCGCGCTTATATATTTATTTTTTTACAATATCATCGCCGTTTATTTATTTTTCTATTTATCAACACTCAATCAACTTTTTTTTTAAAATATTTATTTATTCAATTCCTTATTATTCGTATACTTTGCCATTATATTCCTTTAGTGCTAGGCGTGATAGCTTTCTCCCTTAACAATTTATATAAATATATATATATTTTATCATTTTACAAAACTAAAAAAAAATTAAAATGTAACTTTTAAAATTTGAATCCCAATGGTGTACATCTATTCTACTTCTATTTTAAATATTGTTTATAAAAACATATGTTATTATAATCAGTAGTGTTGTTAAAGTAGCGTGTGCGCGCTTTTATCATCAAACATGACTAGTAGCTTCAACTGGGAAAAATTTGAAAGTAATTATATCAGATAAATTTTATATCAGGCCCAATCCTTATCCTTTAAAATAAAATTTAAATCACAGCTGTATCTATAATTAATAGTTCTTGAGCTAGATGAGTTTAAGTGAGAGTTGATTCTCTGGAGCACCAAGCATCACCACAAGATATTATTAAAGAATTATTTTAAAAAAATTTACTATAAATAATTAATATTAACATCTCATTTTATCATCAAATTCATCTATTATTTATAAATTTTATTAAAACATGCTAAAGAATATGTATTTGATCCTTTCACAAATAGGTGAAAAGTTAAAGGGTGGTGGCCTGGCCAGTTGGCAAACCTGACCATACACATATCCCCTATATAATCTTTATTCTATTATTATTATTATATTAGACCGACCCTAGCCAGATTAAAAACTTCACCTATACTATAAGATGAATTTTTTTGATATAAATAATACTATTAAAAATCTTTGTATTATTTTTAATTCTAAAAATACTCAAATGAATATTTTTGATGATTTTTAATGGAAATGTTATTATTATTATTGAGATGCAATAAAAAAATATTTTATATTTTGAAATTTCACCATATTTTTAATTTATGAAAATAGAAATAGGTAAAAAAAATATTTTTAAAAAAATTGTGGAGTAGTGTAAAAATAGCTAATAGCGCGCTAGTTTTTTGAACACGCTAGCGGTAGCGCATTACTTTCAAAAGTAGCTCTTAACAATACTGATTAATTAGGCCCAGACCCGCTTATTATGCAATTTAAAGAAAATAAAATTATGATTGTCATTTGATGAATAATAGCCAAATAACCTTTTTGAGGATGTTCAAGGCCGCTATTTGACCATGCTTCGTAGCCATCTGCCAATGCTGTATACTAACCTATGTGGAAAAAAAAGGATAATATATTTACCAATAAATAGCGTTAGATTTCAACTTACTCTTTTTTTTTATTTGTGTACTTTCTCACTACCCTTCGCCAATAAATTGAGAATTGGTTTATAGAGGAAAAAAAATAAATGTATACAATATATCACCATAAAGAAGATTTTGAAAGAAAAATTAGTAAAAGTTAATAATATTTTATATGACGACTATAATCAAAATATTTCAAAAAAAAAGGCATTTTTTCAATAAAATTTATGGCGGAAAACCGGGCCAAATAGTGTTACACCTCCCGCCTACCCCACCCCCAAAGGAATCACGGATACGCCTATGCGTCATGCCCCCCTTCTCATGGCAGAAGTACGTGCCCTTATAAAAAATGTAAAATAAAACTTACATTCCGATTTTTCTCCGACCTATCTAACAAAAATAAGGGAAAGGTGACCACATCACCCCCGGCGAATACGTTGGGAATGTTTGTGGTCATATACTCGTCTACCTCTATAAAACCGTCCTGGTTCAGATTTAGGTTCAGAGAGTTATTCGCGTCTTGAGGCGATCGGAATAAATTATTATCGGGTTTGACTCCGAGACCCAGCACGCAGATATCGCAAGGTAAACTAAAATCGAGAGGGGAAGAAAATGGTGGGGGGGGCGGGTGTATGATTGACATTTGTGAAATATTTTAATCTAAATTTAATACAATTTAATAAGCTTATTCTTTTTATTGCCCAATGCCTACTAACATTTTGTTAAATAAAAAAAATATTTGACTCGTATCAGGCTTTAATATAAAGTAGTTATAACCCCTAAGTTAGCGAGAATTCGAGGCGAATTATACAAATTACGCTATATTTTTTTGTATTCTCTGCCACGAATTCGCGCTTGAATGCAGGAGATAACATATCTTTTTTTTTTGTTATAATGGATTAGGAGAACTCTTAGTTATATTTATTTACATTTTTCCGTTGGATAGAGATACGTGGGTAATCGTTTTTTCCGGATTATTACCACCACCGAACTCGTCGATTTCTACGTTGGTTTCAAAGTAAATACCGTTTTGGATGTGCATGTTTTTGATGAAGTTTCCTATTTCGGGACCGAAAGACGTGGCGAAAGGAGCATCGGTTTTCGTTATCACCGTAATAGATTTCACTTTTCCCGTAAGGGCGGATGCAACTTCCATGCCTGCACGTGAGCGCGAAAAAGAATAAGAAGGAAAAAATATTAAACACGTGATTTAGTTTAGAAAAGAGTTAGAGGCCAGCATTAAAGTTGTCCAAACCCTGCTCAATTTTCACTTCTTAGAAGTTCATTCGATATCTGAAAAAAAAATTGGTTAGCGTGACCATTTTTCTAAAAAAACTCGCTCATTTGTGGGATGTAAAGATGACAAAACGCGAAATTCCAACAACTTTAACTATTAGTGAGTTACGGTTTAGACGGGAAAATAACCGCGGAAACGCTCAATCACCTAACTGATAACTTAGTGGCAAAACTTGTCTACATATATGCTAAAAGAATGACTACAAAACAACACTTGATTTATTGATGCATTTTTAAAATTTATTTAAAAAAAAAAGGAAGAAAAATAAAATTTCCTCACGATCCTCAAGGAAATTTTTTTTAAACCCAATGCAATGGTCTATTCTAGTAGGTAGGTAAGGGTTAACGAGATGGTATAGAAATGTTAGAAATATAAGGGTTAAAAAAAAAGGATTCTATAAATTTGGTTGCTAAGCACCCAAACTGTACATATTACTACCCTTTTATTTCAGAGAATCAACAATTCTAAATCCGACCCAAGGAATATAATTCGATAATGTCAAACGATAAAAAAAATTGTATACGGAGACATAAAACGCGTTTCGATCACGCGACTCGAAGCAAACCATGGTACGCGTCCCGGAACCAGGAGTTTGTAAACAATTAATGATATAACAAAAGTTTATAAAGTTTCCGAAACTTATCTTGAAGTGAATTTTTAAGAATTCGATATTTTCCCCGGGATAGAACGGAAACGCAAAAAAAATCTTTTGTCGCGTTTTATTTGACGTTCTAAAATCCTATTAATGTTGCAATTTGAATTTAAATATTTTTTGAATTTGATTCGAGATAAATCGTTTCCTTCAAAGTACCGTTATTAAAAACATTTTAGCTAGTATCAAAATATTGCCCAAAGCCCGAGATTTCGCTAAAATAGGGTAAAACCCATTTTTGTTATCTATCGACTAAATCTTTAGATCTTAGGGTTTAGGTAATATTTTTTTTGGCTAAAAATTTTGATAAAATACCTATTTTCCTAGTGGTAGAATACTAAAAATGTCAAACTACCTCCTGCTTATCACGTGATTATACTTAAACGTTAATTGTAGAGCAATAGATATCAACAAATATTAATAATCAGGTTTTTCTTTCTCTTAAATCTCCCAAATCCAAATTTCTTAATTTTCATAATTCAGCCTAAACAACAGCCAATTAGAGTTGAAAGAATCATCTTGATTCACGTAACTGATCTCCATAGTCAAGAGATCTTTAATGCAATTCAAAAGGAAGACAAATACTTTGAGTGGTTTTTGAAAATAGTATAAATATTTATGAATATTTTTATCGTATAACCTATAAACGAACTGCCGACTATAACGACCCGTTTGTTGAGAGTGATTTGATCGAAAATGTTTCTGGCATCTTGGTAACGTCTCAATATAAATATGTTTTTCAGATCGGCGCCTGGGGCTTTCGAGGTTATGGGGATAGAACCCGTCGCGATCATCAAATTGTCGTACTAAGCACCATTTTCACAGAAGAAGAGGGGGGGGGGGGTGGGTAAGCAAATTTGTTTATAAGTTATATATGATTTCGGGACACAATTTCTTTCTTCCTCTCGTTCCTTTTAAGGGTGAAATTTTTTGGTCAGATTGATTCTTTTGAAAAATATTTAGGGGGGGGGATCCCTAAAATCAAACATTTTTTAAATTTGTAGGATGCTTAAAATTAATTTTATAAATCGACATTTGTTTGTTTGTTATATTAAATAGTAATATAATGTTTTAAAAAATTTAAATTTATTTACCTTGGGGAGAGGATTGATAATTCATGATAATTCAAAAGAGGGGGGTTATAATTTTTATTGTAATTATGCTAAGCCTCCTTACTCTTTATGACTGACGATGCATTCATCAAAAGTGTACATCAATAAAAACATGCCATTTTGATTACCCATATCATAAAATTTTAAACGAGAGGTCAATTTATTCCTATATCTAACGCAAATTTTATTAAAGATGTGCCTGAATTACGAGATAATAAGGAAGCAAATTAGCAATTTAATATAGTTTTTAACATAAATAATTACTATATTGGGTTACCAAAATGGCGAGTGCAGCTGATTTGCATTCATCGACGCTTTCAAATGCATCGTTTAGTCTATCTAGGTATTATTATGGGCCATTGCCTTTATCCCTACCTTCTGTTTCCAATGCTTTTGATTGCATAATTTATATTCAAGATTCAATCAGCACCCCCCCCCCCCTTTAACAAACATTTATAAAATATTAACAATTCAAATAAAAATAAAAATATTTTTTAAAAAAGAAATAAAATTAAATTCATTTTTTCTTTAAATAGTGGTATATAGAATTAAAAATTATGGATTAAGGGCATGAGATAATTTATTTATTTTTAGTCATAATAAAGATAATATTTAAATTAACATTTATGTTATTGTTATATTATATGTTCATGATTCATGGTTATAAAAGAAAGCAAATATTTTAAAAATAGAAGCAAATTTTTTAAAAATAGAAAAATTAAGAAAGGTTGTTTTTAAAATTGTTGAATAAAATTTAATATTATTTTTTGATATCGTTTTGTGGTAATTAATGTTATTACATATTTTTTTTTGTTTTTCTAGTTTTAACCAGATTTTGGAATTTGGATAAAAAGGGAGTTCCACTAGCTAAATTTGACTAGGATCTAATATTTTTAAAATCCCAATTCAGGCTGATTTTTGACAGCCTGATTAAGGTTATAACCAAGATAATATTGTATAAGCCTGGTGATTCTGCTCATAGATGGCAGAAAATTTTGGGCCTTCTACTTGCTCATAGATAGCAGAAAGGTTTAGGCTTCTACTTTCCAAATCTTGAGGCTTAAAATAATATTTTAAATTGACCCAAATCAGGCTTTTTAAGACTACTAGGTTCCAAATTCCTTCTTTCTATTACGTAAATATTTATAAAAATTTTGGATTAGCTATATACATTTAAATATATTAAAGTTCCTATATGTCTAAAGTTTTGCAAAAAAAAATTAAAATTTGATTTAAATATTCTAAAACTATAATAATATATTGTTTTATTGCCTTAATTCATGGAAAAGCATAAATTATTAAAGTATATATTAGATTAATTAAATCAAATTTTGGATATAAAAATAAACATATGGCTTACTTCTAATTTAGTATTATCATCAAACCCAATAAGTTTTTTGGCAAAATCAATCACTTTTATAGGCTTGCCTAATAAAACTTCTATTCTATTTTCTCTGAAGAATTCTTGTTTCCTTAATTGTATACTATCAATGCTTGTATCAGTGGATTTACTTAATTTTGGCCTGTCATATGGTAAATAATCATCTTTAGATATTAGAGTTATGTTACCATCATAATTCTAGAGTATAATATAAATCTTAAATTAATGAAACCATTAATTACTTCTCTTCTCAAAGTTTCTGCACATTCTAAACCACATGGACCACTTCCTATTATAAGTGTTTTATTGTTTTTGATATCTATAGAAAATTTAATATTTTCTTTCAATAGTTTTGATATTTTATATTTATCGGTATTTATTTGTTCAACCTATATGAAACATTAACACTGTTTGTAGGAAAAAAAATACTTACATTAAAGCATGTTAATCCATCCAATCCAGGGAAATCTTCAATATCCCCAGTTTTGGTATTAAAACATGCACCATGCCATGGGCATCTTATTTTTCCATTATTAAGTACCCCATTGACTAAGGGTGCACCATAATGTGTGCACTTATTTGAAACCGCATAAATATGATTATTCTGTTTAATAATAAGTACTTTTGAGTCTTTCTCAAAAGGATACTTTAATATTATTAGGTAAGCTTAAAATTATATCTAATACTTCTTTCATTTGATCGTTCTGTAAATCAGTTAGATCAATTTCACAAGAAAAAAGTTCAGTCATTTTGGAGTAATATCGTTTAAAATCTAAAATACATTTAAAATTACTCAATCAAATTTTTATATTTTTTTACCAGCTGAGAAATATTTAAATATCCTTTTCCGAACACATAAGGGTTTATTTTTATAAAAACACATGTGATTAAAAATATAATTTTAGAAGTGTTAGATTTAAAGTTGACGCTATTTATTGTTACAAACTGGTCTGCTAATTATGATTAAGTAATCATGGATAGAATATGTAATTAATATTTTGTTGTATTTACTCACTAGCTTGTTATCAGATTATTTAATGATTCATAGAGTATCTTAGTTTTTGTCGTATATTATATTATATTATTTTGCTTATACTATTTGGGTTAATATAATTTTGTTTTAAAGGATTATTTATTTTTGTTATGTAGGGTGGAAGGTTATATATATTTTTTAAGGTTTTGAAGGAAGAAATATTGGAATTTAATTTTGTATTTGAAATTTAAGGTGGTATAAAAATATAACATCTTCGCGAGGTTAAATACAAAATTAAGTTTAACAAAAAAATAATACAAACATCATAATACGAAGTAGTTGAATAAAGATAATTTTATTAGGGAATCAAAGTACTATTTCATAACATATTTTTTCGCATTTGTATAGAAAGAATAAGTTAAGAATAAATATATATTATTTTTATTTGCAAAAATTATTTTTAACCGTTTTTCTATATGTGAAAAATATTTAAAATGAAATCAGGACAGGTACCCAAACATAATTGATTTGTCTCAATCAAAAAATAGGAGGCTGGCAGTTCTTTGTATTAGTCTTAATATTTTTAAAATATATATATATTAAAATTGTATGCTCATACATATGAGATAAAATTTGCACTTAAATATTTTTATTTTTTAGATAAAAAAGAGTTAAATAAGTATATCAAAATATATCTTAAAAGTATCTATAAACTATATAGATACCTATGAAATAGTTTATAGATATAGATACATACACTTTTTATACAAATCTGATAATCTTAATAAATTTTCAATAATATAATCACAATTATTAAACATTAAATATTGCTTTTAAAAAAGAAATTTTTTTTAGGCTGCAATCATAATGTTTTGAAAAAATCCTTAAAATTTTAAAATTTTAAAAATTAATAACAAAACACGGGTTAAGTTTTAAAAAAATAATATATTCAAAATGCTTGATATGATTCAATTATTAGTTATTTATTAAAAGATATGTAAATATTTAAGTGTATTTATTATTTTATATTAACTTTCAATTATTAAACTTTGTAACCTATTATTTGATAATGGTTATATTTAAATTTTATTTATATACTTAATAAATACATATATGTTGTAAATAATGAATCAATATTTAATAAACAGTTAGAAAATCAATAATAACTTTTATTTTGAAAGATAATTTTTCCATATATATAAATTATTATATTTGAGTTATATAAATTTGTAATATAAATTATATAATATCTTTTAAAAATAGGAATAGGAATAAGGTTCATTTACTTTGTTGGCATTATCCTGATCTAGCTATTATTCAATAATAAATATCAAATTATAGTAAAATAATTTACAGAAATTATAGTATCATCAAAAGTCAATAGACATATTTTGCCCAATATTTATATCATTAAGTGGGTTAGCAATTTCATTAAGGTATGATGCAGTCTAATAAAATATATTTGGTAATATCATAAATATTAACCATATATATTGTTCAACATATACCTTTTAAATTAAATTATAATATAATATTTATTTTTACCAGATTTTGTTGGGTGAAAGAATATAATTTAATAAATTTAGCCTTTACTGCTAAATATTTCTTTTCAACTATCATAAATCAAGTTATGTTTTTCCTATTATTTCCTCCCAAATTTTCCTATTTTCTACAGAATCTCTGAATTTTAAGTCATTTTTGCACCAGAGGTTCTTATGCACTCTTACGCTTTCCATAAAATTATATTCCGACACTAAATAATATATTAATACAAAAGGCTATAATCGTTTGGGTTAGTAAATTTATAAAAATTAACAGCATAAAAAATAGTATTTACTATTTTTTTTATAAAAATTTTACAAATAAATAAATTTTGAATAAATTTTTATTCAAATTTATTTTTTTTATTTTTTTAATATTTTTTTAAAAAAATAAATTATTATAAATATAGAAAAATGATATTGGGCACCATTTTATTTTTACATTAAAAATAGCTTATGTTATTTTTATCTTCAAAATTTCTTTTTTATATATTTCATGATTTTGGACGCAGCCTAAATAATGTAAGGAAAAAAAATATAATATAAAAAAAATTTTTCACTTTTATTTATTTAAAAAAATAAGCATTTTTTTTATTTTCTTCCCCAAAGCTTATTTTTTTTAAATCTAAAATTACACAATACATTCGCCTGATTTTCTCTTTATTTATTAAAAAACAAGAATTTGACCACCCTTATAATTAAAAACCGATTGAAATCATTTAGTAAATTTTATCAATGTTTGTATCATAATTGTATATTAATTTAATCCGTTTGGAAGATGGTATAAAGGAAAAAGGAAAATTGCATATTAGGATATCCTGCTAGAATAGAAAATATAACTTTATATCTGGCGTGCGCTAATATTTAACCCCCCTAAAACTTGTAGTTTCATATAAAATCATAAAAAAGAAACTGAGTTATGAAAATAATAATGACATCACGCTCTAAGTGTGAAATGAGCCAGGCTTTTCTCAAGCCGGGTATGGGTCAGGACGTTATTTGCAGTTCTCTAATTTGTAATTCGTTTGAGTAACAAATACAAAATTATATTTAATTTTTTATTAACTAAATATACTTTTGAAAATATTCGAATAAATAATTAAATATAAATTTTAAAAAAAGTATTTGTATTTAATATTTTAAATAAAAGTAATCCTGTTACTGTCAACCTTGGGCATAAAATATAATATATTTCTGATTCATCCATCAATAAAGGTAAAATTTATTATTTATCCATTATTGAGTAAAGAAGAAAATTCTGATTCCCCGTCATTCTTGACGTGTTATCATCTAGTTTTAAAATAAGAGCAATCGTTTACAACTCTTGGGCATGGAATTTGATAATTTTTAATCGTTAAAACATTTAGATACGATAAATTACTTTCATAATTACTATAATTGATTAAAAATATTATATAAAATTTAAGAAATAATTTATAAATTTTAATATCATAAATACGCCATCTAGTGGATAAAATATTAACATGTTTATACCTTATATATTAGGAAATTCAAAAGAATATTTAAATTTATTAAAATGTTTATTTAAAATATCTTATAAATAATTATTTATATCTTGTCCAACATTTATATTAATTATTAAAAAAATATTTACTCCGAATTAGTTATTAAAATATTAAAACTTAATAAAATATATTTAGAAATAAGTATATAAATATCCTACTACATTATAACATTATATACCAGAGCTCCCATTAGTCAGCATTGCTGATCATTTTTTTAAAAAATTTTTATGAGCAAACTGATTTCTATTAAGTTTAATTAAAAAATATTAAAAATGATGGGGAATCAGAATTTTTTAACCAAATCTTATTCTTTTGCACTATATCAGCATCAGTCCAAAGTTTTTATATAATTTGAATCATAAAAATTTTTCATCATTTTTCAAACTTTGACGAAAACCATTATATTTCAAATCCCATTAAAGTATACTTTCTAAATTTTTTTGGAATGTTTAATCGCACCTTGTATTAATTAGTTGCTGAAAATCCAGACATTCACTTATTTAATAATCTATAATTATTTATAACTATTAATAGCTATTAATATCTTTATGGTCTTAGAAATATCTTTTTCTATCTTACCCATTAATTAATATCTTTACTTTCCAAATCGCACGTATGTCTCCTTTCTAGATATTCAAAATCATCCCATCTTCTCAGTGACGAAGTTTAAGTTTACTATTAGGGAAGAAATCAAAAATATTTTCTTAATTTATAAGTAGGATCCGTCGTTGTTCTTTGAATAAAATGATTAAGTATTGAATTATAAAAGTTATTACTAGATTTTAAATTTTTTTAATAAGTTTTTTTCAATCGCAAAAATAGATTTAAAACTGAAAAAAAATTAAATAAAAATACTAAAAACTTAATATCATAAATACGCCATATAGCGGATAAAATATTAATATTTTTAATAATTTATAGATCAAGAAATTCAAAGGAATATTTAAATTTATTAAAATGTTTAGTTAAAATTTTCTAAGATCTCGAATTTACTCTTTAATGGAATTAACTTAATCTCTTTTAACTTACTTAGTTTTTTTTGGCTTGACAATTTTTGATTATATTATATTTTATTTAAAAGAAAGGTGTCGTGTTATGCATATCGTTTTTGTATTTGTTATGAATTATTATTCTCAGAATTGATGTCATTTTATCGATTTTTAACAATGACGAAATTTAACAGTATTTTTGTTAAATTATATTTTTGTAATATTCAATTTCAAGTATAAGAAATTAGTTTTGTAATATTCAGATTTCAAACACCAAATAATACTTTATTTTTTAACGAAAAGATGAATTGGATTTTGAATATTGTGGGATAAAAAAAAGAACAGCGATATAAAATAAAGATTTTATCATTATTATATTTTTTTTTATAATTCACTTAGATTTATTATATTTTATATCTTAAATAAATTAAATTTATATTAATCAATTGTGTTTCACATTCTTCGGATTTATCATATATTATCTTAAATAAATTAATTAATCACACCATAGTATTTCTTTCTCTAACACACACAACTAGTGTTGTTAATTAGTCGAGTTCTTTCGACTACAACTAATAGTCGTAGTCATGGAAATCGACTAAAAACTTTATCGACTAAAACGACTAATTTAGTCTAAAATAACTAATTTAGTCGACTAAAACGACTAATTTAGTCTAAAATAACTAATTTAGTCGACTAAGTTGATCTATTTAGTCAGCATAGTGGAATAATTTAGTCGACTAAATAAATTTTTTGAGCCAAATCGAACTTGATTACGGCATAGGGGTTAGTCTAGTTCTTCCGACTACTTGAGATATCAGAGAAGATAAACGAAAAGTCACAAATCTAATATTCGTTATTTTTAAGAATTTTTTGTTTTTCTTAATTTCTTTGAATCAAATAGGCAAAAATATACATGTAAAATTAAAATTTAAATTAGGATGTATCATAGAAAAGTGACCATAATTATTATATTTTAACCTTTTTGATTTTTTTTAAAACAAATAGGTAAAAATATATATTGTAAAGATGTTAAAATAAAATTTATGTGGATGTACCATAGAAAAGTGACAATTGTCATTATCGTTATTTTTGTACTTTTTTAAAGTAATTAGGTAAAAATATATATATTGTAAATGTGTTAAAATAAAATTTCAGTCAAGATATACCATAGAAGAGTGACAATTGTCATAATCGTTATTTTTTAACTTTTTTGAATTTTTTTAAAATAAATAGGTAAAAATATATATTGTAAAGTTGTTAAAATAAAATTTTAGTGAAGATGTACCATAGAAAAGTGACAATTGTCATATTCGTTATTTGTGAACTTACCATTTTTCGCAAAATCGATTTTCATAATTCTCCCTCAAAAAAAATTTTTCTCACAATTGATCAGAATTATTATGTTTTCTTTAAAAGTCAAAACAAATCTTTTCCTCTTTTAACAATTTTTTTCACAAAAGCAAAAACATAGCTATTATTTACCATATAATGTCAATATTATTTTTAAATTCATATAATAAAATATCGAATCCCAGAAAAAAAACCCCGGAAAAAAAACCCTGGGAAAAAACCTCGGAATAAAAGCCTCCGGAAAAAAACCCCGAATTTTTTTTTCGAATTTACTTAAGATCTAATAATATCGGTATATTTTTATTTGGATTAAATAAAGTATAGGTAAATTAGTATTTTAGAAAAAATATTATAGAAATATAATTTAATAATAAATTTTTTAGGCCCCAATTCATTACTTAAATATTACTCATATACCCTCCAAAAAATGCTGATGTTCAAATTGGTACTGGGGCAAAAAAAATACCCTAGTAAAATAACCCTGTATTACTAATTTTCGTAAAAATTATTTGCTATAGTAATAAATACAATATCCATCCTTAATTACTATATTAAGTAGACTAAATTTGACAAAATTTGCAATAAGATCTATTTATTTTATTGGAAAATCATTATGTATATACAAATCTAATAATTTAGAATAATAATTATATCGGTTGACATCAAATAAAGGTGAAAATAGCCCTCATAAAATCTAATCTGGAAGGCTTTGCACTCTATCACGGTATTCCTCGCGAAGTTTCTTTAACCGAATCTGGGTATTATAACTCTGCGATTTTGTTTTGGTGTCCAACTACCTACACGCCATCGTTCAAGTTTGGTTTCGTCGGCAGCAACCTCGCATTTCATTTTATTAATCAATACCCAAATTGATTGGCGTTTATTCCCAACCAGATATGAAAAACGATGATCCCAACCTTCGCATTGATTATTTGTGGGTTCTTCATCGGATAGAGTGCTCTCATTCACGATCCAAGTTTATTGAGAAAATCGAGGCCCAATTCGACGTGTCTGGGATTGAGAATTGCTTCTTGTGACCTCCCTTTACTCCATTGATGTAATTTTTATCGAAATATTAATATCTTTACCATTGGTCGGAGTAACTGATCTCAGGAATGCATTTGCATTGCCCATATCACATAAAGGAACAAATGCTAAGCCGTCCATCATGCCACAAAAGAAGCTTAGGGCTTCATTGGTTCTGTATTGTCTTTCCGGACCTAGCTTTTGTAGTTTTCTTTGGGTACTTTGACACATTTGGTATAACATCCTCTGATTATGATGTGATCCACTAATTGAAAAAACAAATATAAATAAACATATTAATGATCATACCAATGACAGTTTTAACCGCGCTCATAGCAAACATTTCGAAATCTATGTATATATATGGATCAGGAAATAAATCTTTTTCTTGACATTTAGATAATAATATTTCGAATATTTTTCGAAAGATTTTGTGTTTTTTTTGGAATACTGATATATAATTGCAGAAATTTTTTGGGGGCATAAAATATCCACCCATATTAATTTAATATACCATGAGCACTCACTTATAAATTTATTTATCAAAATTAATTATTGCTAGGTTATACTAAAAAAATTAAATGAAAATTGATAAAGATCCGAAAAATAAAGATCAAAATAGAAATGACCAATCCCTCCCCCGTCTCTCTCTCTCCCCCATTGTTATTTAAAAATTTGTAACAATAGCAAGATTTTTTGGTTCTTTAAATTATTTCAATTTAAAATGTATTATCTATATTATATATATAATCACTGTAATCAAGAAATGAACGTTTTCGCATATCCTTAATGTTAATTTTTATTTTTCTTATCAACTTTCCTATCTTCTTAATGTTAAATAAATCTATGGAGACTATATCTCTCTAATGTTAAATTTTAAGAAAATTTTTTGTATAGATTCGAACCCATGACCTAACGATTTAAAGGCAAACGTTCTTCCCGCTCAACCACCTTCTATATTAAATTTTGTAATATAATCTTTCTTATATACTTTATTATTTTGCTATTATTTATTTTTATTGGGTAATTAATCTTTAATTGGTTTATTAAGGTCTTATTTCATTGGTTTAAATTTATTTTCTATCTATTTTATTGGTTTAAATTTATTTTCTTTGTTTTATTAATTAATAATCAACCATTTTTAATTAACGATCTTTTTTTAATTAACGATTTTTAAGAAGATCACAACCTTTTTTATATTTTTAAGAAGATAGTCAAGTATAATTTTTTTTTATTAATAAAAATAAAGTTTAATATCTATATATATAGATTATCAATCAGTGTCAACCCTTCAATCATGTAAGAAATAACCTTTTATCATGTAGGTTTATACCTATCAGAACCTGTGTTTTTCCATGGTCAACTTTATAAGGCCTTAAGTAGATGTACCTTTAAAAAATATACTAAAGTTATGATTGCACCTTCAAAATTACAAGGCTATTTACTTCCAAATAAAAAATTATATACACAAAATATAGTATATGACTCAATTATTTAAAAAATAATTATCTCAATTACTATTCAAATTTATGGATTAAAAATGCTCAAACAACTAATCCAAGTAATTATTAAATTATCAATTCAACAAATAAAGATATCTTATATTTAGCCAATTATTAGATATAATCAATAATAAATGAATAGACATTAATAGTTATATTTTCTTTTATCTTATAATAAATAGTTTAAATCTATTAATATTATTATCTTATAAAAAGTATTATGATAAGATTTATAATTACAATAATAAAAAATCCGCCAACTTGCGGATTTAATATTAATGAAATTTAAAATGTAATTATAATTATTTTTATTTTAATCATATTAATGGCTTTAAACTCTTTATTATGAGATAAAAGGAAATACAACTATTAATGTCTATTCATTTATTATTGAATATATCTAAGAATATAATTTTTTATAAGTTATTTCTAGAATAAGAAAATGAACCTCACTCCAATTAAGAGAGAATATATCAAATAATTTTACCTTACATTTGCATTACTTTGGCATTTGTAGTTTACCATGGCATTTGTAATTTAGTCAAACCGTCACAATCTACTATATTTGATTAGGTTCTAAGAAAAACACCTATATAAAATCTAGGAAAAAATGTTTATCTATGGTATCGCCAATTACGTATTATAAAATATCTACATAAATTATGACATTAAGGGGGGGGATTGGTTGATAAAAAATTATATTTGTTCTACATATGTTAACCCCAATTTCTTACAACATAGAATCTTCCCAGAAATCCTCGGTGACCTTGTCTCCAGACCTCGATATGATTGACCCTTCAGTATGGCCGTTGACATTACCTTACTCAGTATAACCCGTTGATTATATTGAGCCATCACGGCTGCAATATTCGTCCTGGAGTTTCTAGGAATTGCGGATAAGGCCGACGTTGAAGCAGTCTACTCGTTCTCTGACTAATCGTTGAGTCATTAAGCTAGAGTCCATCATGTGGTTATCGTTACGATCTCCCAGAAGCATCCTCCCATTTCGCAATTTCGGCACAGCCCGGCAGTTGAGACAGCTTCGCTTCCTTGCCCCTGGGATTGGCTGATATTTTCCTTTTGTTGCCCATTAATAATATTCAGGCCGTTGTTCTATGGGATATGTGTCACATGCAGGTAATAATTAGTGAAGGTCGTGAAAGTCTTCTTTTTTTTACAAAATGAAATTACAAAATTTTCTCTTTTTTATACGAGATATAATTATAAAAGTTTTAACTATTTTTTTTCTTTGGAGAAAAATAAATGAAAAAAAATGGAAATAAACATCCGAGATCGAGATTAAAAACAAATAAATTATCAAAGGTTATCCATTGAAGGAAAAAATAAACATACAAAAACAAACTGACATGTGCATCACAAAGTTTAATTATTATTTCTTTTTTTTTCTAGAAAGAATTAAATAATTAAACATTTAAAACTCCACTTCCGTTTTCTCCATTTTCTTTTCGGTTAAAATTATAATTATTACATATAAAAATATAAAAAAAAATAAGGATGGAAAGAGATAAAAAGGAATGGAAGAGAACAAAATCTCTTACTTTTTATGGCCTTCATTCTACCATCATCCTGACATTATCAAAATATTTTCTCTTCTAACAAATGTAAGGTCATTTTTAAATCAATGAACTCACCAATATATCAAAAAAAAATCCTTCATTGGAGCTCACCATACGTTTTTTTTATTTACGGGATACACAACCGATTACCATTTATTCCCTGATTACTTCCGGGGCCAGATATGGTCAATTATGTCTCAGGACAATGACCCCACTCCCCAAATTTATGAGATTTAATCTCGTTCCCCTATTCTCCAATATAATACCTTTAGCCCGTTTTATTGTCAAATAAACGAGCCCATTTACTTTGTCCCTTATGAAACATTATATTCACTTTATCGCATGGTAATATAGTAGCATTGCCTTTTTGTTTTAAATAATCTAAGGGTAATCGGGTTCTTCTACCCAAAAACAATTCAACAGGCAAAACACCCTCCCCATTTCTAGAATTAAGAAAAATATATAATTGAGACATGTAAGCCTCATCTTTATGGTTTCCAGCGTTTTTAATACAATTTTTAACAATGGCTATCATCCTTTCAGCTTGACCATTCGAGTTGGGATGATACGGTGGAGCAAGAATGTCTTGGGTCTGTGACTCAGCACAAAACTGTTTTTATCACTTATGAAGGCAAGACCTCCATCAATCACTATTGTATCGGGTGACCGAATCTGGCATATAATTCCCGTAATTTCCTAATAACAATTTTTATGGTATAACCATGTACCTCTGCATATTCTACACTTTGAATATGAATCTACCCCCAAAAAATATGTTTTTAAAAAAATCTAGATCGAAGAAATCGATGTGGCGTCGTTCCCACGGTTTCTTTGATTTGGGCCAAATTTAACCTAATTTTTTAGTAGGGCATAGATGCACAGGTATTAGAGTGAACACATTTCCTTGCAATTTTTCTCAATATCATTACTCATATCAGGTCATCATACATATTCATGAGCCCAAGATTTCATTTTATCCCGACCCAATGTCCTGCTTGTAATAAATAAATAATTTTACTACGTAATTTAAAAGGAATTACAGCTCTATTTCCTCGCATTAAACAATCATCCACCACTGACAATTATTTTTTTTTAATTTTTTTTTTTATAAATTTTACAATTATTTTTCCACGGCTTTTCCCCCGGTTAAGAGTAATTTTATTTGACTCAATTCTTTATCTTTTAAAAATTGAATTTAAGATCTTCCCAATTTGAGGCCACCCTTTAGCATATGTGAAATAGAACTAACCAATGCTTTTTCTTTATTCATTACTTTATTTTTATTAAAGTCGAGATCTTCTTCACTCGATCCCAACCTGGATAAAATATCGGGCAAACAATTTTCTTTGCCTCGACGATATCCAATTTCCACATTGAAACTTGCCACAAATAACAACCAACGATGACATTGATTCTCGATTTTCCTTTTTGAATAAATGAATTAATGGTTTATGCTCGGTATAAATTCTAAAAATTTTTCCAATTAAATATTCTTGACATTTGGTTAAGCCAAAAATAATGGGTATGGCTTCCATTCAATAACATGACCCCCCCCCCCCCTCTCATTCAGATCAAGTCCAACCCATTAATACTAAGAGGGAATACTATCATTTGAGTCAAAATATATTTAAATTAGCTTTTACCCCATATCAAAATTCTTAGTTAAAATATTACTGATTACCTATGGCTAATATTTAATATTAATAATTTTTAATCATGCCCGGCCCAGGCCAACAAAAATATTTTTTTAGGCCAATGTCTGACCCTTATTATATAGCGTCTAAGACCTTACTAATTTTTAAGCCCAACTCAACCCATAATAATTTTGAAAATTTTTTCTCAACCCTGGTCCCAACCCATAAAAATTTTTCCCAAGCCCGGCCTATAATAAATTTGCAAAAGATTTTCCAAAGCCAGGTTCAAGCCCTTATTAATTTTGGGGAATATTTTTTAAGCCCAGCCAAACCCATAATAATTTTGGGAAAATTTTCCCCAAGCCCGGAGGAGATAGTTAAATTTCTAATTAATTTATCATCAAATAAAGGGGAAATTTCCGATTAACTAGTTAGTCTAGGGATTAACTCTTTGTTTACATACAAAAAAAAACACGTGAATTCGTAATAAAGGAAATTGGGAAAGCCCGGGCAAACCACTTATTAGAGAATCAAGACAAAATCAGGCATGTTACTAATATTTTTAAAAGAAATAACAAATCTTGCCTTGTTTTATTTGAGACCAAAAATTAAGCTATGGAAAAAAAAATGGTTTGAAATTGCTTCCACTGCTACAATTCTAACAAAATTTGGGTATTCTGGATATGATGCTTGGTTTTATGGTATTGAGAAAATTGTCTGGTATTAAATGCGTGGTTTGAAGGGAGTTCTATAAATAGGTTAAGAAGCGAGTAAGCGATCTGGGAGAAAGGTGTATATCTTGAATGAGGACACCTGTTAATGATTAGTCCATAAACATAAAATACACCTTCATTTGTTAGATGTATAAGTTTAGGCAAGGTGGGCAGATATGGGATTCGAAGGAGAATAACTTGAAAATTTATTGCTCACCTATTTTTTTACATTTTGATGTATCTCTGTTTTCAACTGGGAGGATAAGTACAAAAATAATCATTTCTGTAAATTAGGACCTGTAAATCGAGACAATGATAAGCCAAGCGGACTAAATTGATTATTACCGACTGCAAGTAATTAATTGGAAAGTTTTATGAGAGATAAAATTATTTAAATGTGTTAAACTATTATAAATCACTGATTTACAAAAAATTAATTAACTTATATAGCAATTTTATAAAAAAAAAATTTTTTTTCTTCTTCCTAAGACCCAAAAATTCTTTTCTAAAGGCTTCAATTTTTTTAAAATCTCAAGACTCTGATGGCCATTTTCTAACTAAGCTTACTGGTCAGTTTGTCATTGGTGATAATTATAGCAGATCCTAGAATTAAACAAAGCATAAATAATTTAAGCAAAGGATTTTAAAAATCAAAATTATTTTAAGCTTTGATTTCTAATTTGTTTTTTTTCTGACGATGATTGACTGAAACAGTTTGTTAAGGTTTTCGATATTAACCAGGTTTACTATTTTAATGCTATAGCAGAACTAAATGAATGTAATAACGATATATTCCTTAAATATTTATGTGATTTCAACTTTATAAATCTAACAACATTCTTTAAAAAAAAA